GATCCTTCCGCCTCAGCCTTCTGAGTAGCCGGAATTACAGGCATGCGCTACCACACCCGGCTGATTTTTTGATTTATTGTAGAGAGGAGGTCTTGCCTGCCCAGGCGGGTCACGAACCTGCAGACTCGGGCAGTCCACTCACCTCAGCCTCCCAAGGTGTGGGATTATAGGCTGAGCCACCGAGCCCGGCTAATCATAACTTTTTAAACAGTAGAGGTGATTGGTTGGTCTTTGTAGTCCCTGGCAGTAAGTCCATTGTTTATTTCCCTCATACGAGCAGTGTTTTGATGTGGGAAGGGTTCTGTCAAGACATGGCTGCCCTGGATTAACATCAGCAAATTGCAGTGCAGATCTTGCTGCCACACTGAGGGCTCACAGTACACTTGCTGTGTCCTGAAGGTCTTCTCTTAACTGCGCCGGTTGTCGGTGCCCCGCTCCTGGCTCTCTCCGAGCATCTTCCTGGAAACTGGGTAGAAGGACTGGGCCCTCGTGGGGTGTGCGGCTGCACAGCTGTGGAGACACCTTACCTCAGGTCGGCATCCCGGGCCAACTTCAGTGGCTCTCATTGAAGGTGTGTTCCCATCACTTTTGGTCCCTGCACCGTGCTGATGCCAGCATCCTGTGATGCTTGAAGCTGACTTAAATGATCAGTTGTAGGCTCCTGAATTTTATTTTTTAGCAACATATTTTGTTGAGCTGCAAGTTGTGGTCATTGCACCCTGACGTTCCCTGAGCAACTGCTGCCAGGTGAAGTTGCCAAGCATGTCTCACACCTGCCCCAGGGGGTGCCCTTCCCCAGAGGGGCTGCGGTTGCAGTCGGGCCTTCCTTGCCACAGGCTGGCTTTAGTCTTGGGGCTCTTGTCGATGGCAGTGCGTTCCTGAGGCATACGTGACACCGCATGGTGCGCCAGGCCTGAGGGTCCAGCTCCATGGAATCCGGCAGATGCCTGCTCAAGTGGGCCTGCACGCCTCTGCTGTGGTCCACCCTGCCTGTGGTCTGCAGGTCTGTGGCTCTGTCTTTGGCTCGTCTAGAACTTCCCATGAACGGGGCACTGGGGATGTGCGCCTTGCACTCTGCAGCACGCCGTCCACCTTCATCTGTGTTGTGTACACCTGCCGTTTGTTTTTTTTGCAGCACACTGGTGTCCTCCTGTTGATGCCAAGTGCTGCACACGTGACCTCTTGTGAGTGACGGAACGACCCTGAGAAACAGGTGTCGTGAATTCCCCATTTTGGAGAAGAAAACTGCAGCTTTGATGTGTCACTCGCGTGCCCAGTGGCACATGCCGGGCCAGATTCAGGCCCAGACTTGTGTGATCCTGTAATGCAAAGCCACATCCTTTGTCAGAATCTGTAGCAGTCCAGAGATTTGATAAGCTGGGCATTTAAATAGTGTTTAAAAGCTGACTGGGCACAGTGACTCAAGCCTGTAATCTCAGCACTTAATAGGCCGAGGCAGGAGGATCGCCTGAGGCCAGGAGTTGAAGAGCACCGTGGACAACACAGCAAGACCTCATCTCTACACAGAAATAGAAAAATTAGCCAGGTGTGGTGGTCTGTACCTGTAGTCCCAGCCACTTGGGAGGCGAAGGCAGAAACATTGCCTGAGCCCAGGAAGTCGAGGCTGTGGTGAGCTGTGACCACGCCACTGCACTTCAGCCTGGGTGACAGAGAGACCCTATCTCAAAGAAAGCTGGTTGTTGGCCATGAAAAGGCATCGAGCAAAGTGACCTTGCCCACTAGAACCATGGCTGCCCAAAAGCAGCAGCAGGGGAGTTCCCACGAGGGACTGTCCCAAACCATCCTGAGATGGGACCCATTAGGATTCCAAACACTAAATGCCAGGGCGATCTGTCCAGAGTATTTATGAGGGACACGTGCACAAGAGGCTGCAGTGTCCTCAAGACAGCATGGGAAAGGGGTGTTCTGCATACCTGTGTCCACCGCGAGGAGGTCGGGTATGGAGTTTACATGAGGCGTTAAGGAATCTGGCTCAGCGCTGGGGCCGGATCTTTGCGTGTTGTGGGCCATATCCTAGACGTCTTTGTCGGTGCCTAGGATGCTTGAGGCCCTGGTTTGGGTTCAAGCCTGCCAGAACAACCTGCAGCTACGTGTCAGAGAGCAGCCAGGGGTCTTGGATTTTCAGTCAGGACTCAGAGCAGAGGACCTGGGGCCCTGCATCCTTTGCGACTTGAGTCTTCTCTGTGGCTTGTGCTGCTGGACACACAGGGTACGCTCAGCCTGCCCAGGGCATCTGTACGTATAGCCCAGTGAGCATGTCCTGAGTCTCCCCTCTGCTTCCAGGGGGCCCGACTGGTGCCACCTCAGACTTGGGGATGGCATGCGACCGTGCCAGGGTCTTCCTGCCCTCAGATGAGCAACCCGGGAGCTCCATGACCAGCAAGGTAGGTGCTTGCCTTGTCTCCTTACCTTCCCTGGGGACTCTGCCCTATCCCTGCTCGCTGGTGCTCTGAGGGGCATGGCCGCCTTCTGTCTCTTGCAGAGGCTGCTGTGGTCCACACACTTGGCCTGGCTTCCCGGGGCAAGTGACACCAGGGTGGCTGAGCCTTGGCCTGCTTCCCCCAGGCCTGTCCCTTCTAATCACTGCTATCTTTGTTCTCCTCAAGCCCAAGAAAAGTGTGGCTGTTGCAGAGATACCCTCTGCAGTCTTCTGCTACTCGGAGAGCCACTCAGATGAGACTGTCGCCAGCAGGGAGACGGACGCCATCTTCAGAGCTGCCAAGAAGGACCTGCTCACCCTAATGAAGCTAGATGTGAGTGGCCGTGGGGCTCAGTGGTCCTGCTCAGGCCGCCGCCTCCTTCCCTCCTCTTTCGGGCAGTGGGTCCCAGGCGTCGGCTAGCAGCTTTCGGATGGAGTGCAGCATGCAGTTGCCTCTTGGGGGCCCCTTGTGTGAAGCTTGGGTTCCAGCCTTTCCCCAGTTCCTGCTAGGAGCCTGCTTCTTCCTTTTGAGTTCAGGGTCTCTGTTTTTTCTGGGTAGCCATCCTTTGTTGTTTGTTGGTTCTGCACAGAATCTTCTCCTCTAGGACTTGCCTTTTTTGGCCTTTTTTTGTGTGTGTGTGAGTCAGCGTCTTGCTCTGTTGCCCAGGCTGGAGTACAGTGACAGGATCACAGCTCACTGCAGCCTCAACTTCCAGGGCTTAGGTTACCCTCTCGCCTCAGCCTCCTGAGTAGCTGGGACTATAGGCACATGCCAACATGTCCAGCGAATTTTTTAATTTTTTTGTAAAGATGAGGTCTCTCTACAAAAGTTGCCCAGGCTTGTCTCAACTCCTGAGCTCAAGCAGTTCTCCTGCCTTGGCCTCCCAAAGAGCTGGGATTACAGGCATGAACCATCACACCTGGCCTTTTTTGGCCATCTACATGGTATCTTTGGTGGACAGAAGTCCCTGATTGTAAAGTGGTAGAACTTATCAGTCTTTTCCTTTATGGTTAGTGCATTTTGTGTCTTAAAAAATTGTACCCCACATTTTTTAAATGAAAATTTTTTAAAAAATTCCTTTTTAAAAAAATTCTGCTGTAATCTCAGCACTTTGGGAGGCTGAGGAGAGTGGATTGCCTGAGCCCGCGGGTTCAAGAACCACTCCGGCATTTTGGCAAGGCCTTGTCTCTACAATAAATCAAAAATTAGCCAAGCGTGGTAGCGCGCACCTGTAGTTCCTGCTGCTCAGAAGGCTGAGGCAGAAGGATCGCCGGAGCCCAGCAGGTCGAGGCTGTGGTGGCCGGGAGCATGCCACTGCACTCCAGTTTGGGTGTCAGAGTGAGACTCCAACTCAAAAAAAATTCTGATTCTCCTAACATTATTTTTTAATATACTACTTTTGTTGTAAAGATGTGGGGTTCAATTCAGGGTTAGGCGCACCAGTGGTCATCCTGCTGCTTGGGTTTTAATGTTGATGGAATTGGATTTTGTGTGTGATGCAAGGAAGGCCTCAGACCATGTACACTTTCCTCATGGAAACCCAGCTCAGCAGTTTCCGGATGTGCCAAGAAGTCCCCTCTAAGTCTGTTTTCTTTTGTTCCCTGTGGTTCTTGTTCAGTGTCTTATGGGGACACTTGGGCTTTGTTATCTTGGATAACTATGTGCTTTGAGACAGTGGCTATCTATAGTGCTTGAGTGCTTATTTTTAGATGTTAGATGAGCCTTAAGATGACATGATCTCCCTACAGAAGAGATTTTTGTCTGCTCTTGCCAGAAGTCTAGAATTGGTAGCAGTTTGGGGTCACCTTATGTTCAGACTCAAGGCACGAGGTTTTCTGGGCCATCCAGATGTCCCAAAGTTAGACTTCAGAGTTCTCAGTTATACTTAAAAATTGTTTTGGTTACATTTAATCCAGCAATAAAAATCTCAGATTATTTTAGCATAACACTTTCTGTTTCACTTTAGTAATTTTAAACAAACTTATTTTCATTATTTTTTGTATTCAATCATTTTCACCTAGAATCTAATTTTTTATTTTCTTACTTTTTATGGAAAGCTCTGAATGGGTAAAAGGTGGCAGAGGTGGTCTCGTGAGCTCCCACATGGCTGTCACCAGCTTCAATATTATCAGCCATGGCTCATGGTTTTACAGCTGTACCCCTGACCCCACCCCCAGTTATTTTCTATCTGGAAAACTTCAAATAATACGCAATCTCACATCATTCCTCTCTAAAGGTGAGGACCCTGTTGTGAGACAAAGCCTGAAGCCTTGCGTGTGAACATACGGTACCCTTCTTGCACCCGAATTGTTGGAAGGCCTGGATTCACGGCCCATCCCTGCTCAGGCCCGGCTGCCCCGAAATGGTGCGAGGAGTTGCTGCTGTTGCACGGGGCCGGGTCTGAGCAAGGTCCGTGCGCCACCGCCGGCCTCACGTTTCTCAAGTCTTCTCTCTTTTTAAACGAGTCTTCTCTCTTTTTAAACGCGTTTTATCGTGAAAAGTTCAAATGTATGCAAGTAGGTGGAAGGCCCTAGTGAAGGTGAGAGGGCGCCTGCCATCCCTCGCAGCAGCGGTCGACTGAAGGCCATCTGTGCCTCTTCTCAGTGCCCTGCCCAGGCCCCCCCAAAGCAGTCTCATCGTCATGGTGTGCCACCAGTGAGGGTTTCAGTTTTCTCTTTGAAAGGCAAGAGCTATTTTTGTTAATTATTTTCAGAGGCAAGGCCTTACTCTGTTGCCCAGGTTGGAGTGCAGTGGTGTGGCCATAGCTTACTGAGCCTTGAGCTCCTAGACTCAAGTGATCCTCCCACGTCAGCCTCCCAAGTAACTGGGACTACCACATGTGCCACTGCATCTGGCTGATTTTCAAAATTTTCTTGTAGCAGTGAGGTCTCACTGTGTTGCCCAGACTGGTCTTGAGCTCCTGGCCTTGAGTGATCCTCCCACCCTGGCCTCCCAAAGTGCTCAGATTACAGGTATAAGAGCTATGTTTTGTTTGTTTGTTTGGAGTCAGGGTCTCAGTCTCTTCACCCAGGCTGGCATGCAATGGTACAGTCACAGCTCACTGCAGCCTCGCCCCACTAGACTGAAGCAACCCTCCTACCTCAACCTACTCAGTAGCTGGGGCTACAGGTGCGCGTCACCATGCCTGGCTAATTTTTTGATCATTTGTAGCAATGAGGTCTTGCTGTGTTTTGTTGCTCAGGTTAGTTTCGAACTCTTGACCTCAAGCAACCTTCCCGCCTCAGCCTCCCAAGTGCTGGGATTACAGCCATGAGCCCCCGTGCCTGGTCTGCAAGGGCTGTTTTTAAACATAACCGCGATGCCACAATCACTCCTGAATATTTAACATAATCCTTAACACCTTCAGCTGTTCCTTCAGTATTCACATTTCCAGCAGTCTCAGCACTTTCTGAGCGATGGTGAGGTCCACGCCATGGCCGTTGGCCATAGCCCTCACGTCTCTTCTCTAGAGGTCCCGTCAGTCGGACGTTTCACCCAGGAGGCTGGCTCCTTCCCGCAGGGCGCCCGCTGTCTGACTGAGCGGCGCCAGCCCGGGACAGTGCTGCTGCTGCTCCACACTCGAGATAGCCTCTTGCCTGGCAGTTGGCTGCAGGGGCCAGCTTGGCCCTTTGCCTCCACCTCATCTCACTCCTCCTTTGACAAGTCCAGGTGGCAGGAGCCGCGTCCTCTGCTGGGGGGCTGGCACGTGGCTCTCTCTCCCGTGGCCATGGCAGTTTGGGTGCCTGCACCGTCAGGGCTGGGACATTTGAGTTGATGATTCAGTTCCAAAGGTGACCAGTGAGCTTTCTTTTTTTTTTTTTTTTTTTTTTTTTTTTTTGAGTTGGAGTCTCACTCTGTCGCCCAGACTGGAGTGCAGTGGCTGCTTCCGGCCACCGAGCCTCGACCTGCTGGGCTCCGGCGATCCTTCCACCTCAGCCTTCCCAGTAGCTGGAATTACAGGCATGCGCTACCACGCCCGGCTGATTTTTTTGATTTATTGTAGAGATGAGGTCTCGCTGCCCAGGCGGGTCTCGAACCCGCGGGCTCAGGCAATCCACTCACCTCAGCCTCCCAAAGGCGCGGGATTACAGGCTGAGCCACCGAGCCCGGCTAGAGCTTTCTTCTTCCTTTTGTTTCTTGTCACTGTGGACCGTAGCTTTAGTGTTTTTGACATTATCAAGCCCTCTCTGGTGCTGTGGTTTGCCAGGGCCACCCGCTGGCTCTGGGTGCTCGGGGAACTTCAGCTCCAGGCTTGTCCTGACCTGGAGGTGTCGTGCTGGGACTGGCCTTCGTTGCTGGTTTGTGAAAGGGTGTCCCACTTGGCTTCTTGCTAGTTATGGCAGTGCCATTCGTCACGTACATCACGTGTTCTCAAAGAAAGTCACAAAATATGGGTGTCTGTTTCTGCATTTTCCGTTCTGTTTTACGGATGTTGGTTTCACCACCAGTTGGCGTCAGAGGCTTTGCTGAGCATGCTGGTGTCCGTTGGTTTTGTGTGAGTGCCTGGTCCTCGGAGGAGACTTTTTCACCTTCTCCTGTGTATTCTTTTAAAATTTATTTTAGAGTCATGGGTACATGTAAAGATTTGCCATACTAGTAAGTTGCATGGAGGTGAGGTTTGGGCTTGAGTGAGCGCTCTCCCCCGAGTTGCGGACTTGGTGCCCAGGGGTGGTTGTGTGCTCCTTGCCTCGTGCCCCTATGTCGCCCAACTTCTGCTGCTCCCCACTTTGTGCCGCCTGCTGCATGTTTAGGGCCCACTTAGGAGTGAAGGCATGTGGTATGCAGTTTTTTGTTTCTGTGATAGTTCACTTAAAATGATGGTCTTGGCTGGGCTCGGTGGCTCAGCCTGTAATCCCAGCACTTTGGGAGGCCGAGGTGAGTGGATTGCCTGAGCCTGCGGGTTTGAGCCCGCCTGGGCAACTTGACGAGACCTCATCTCTACAATAAATCAAAAATTAACCGGGCGTGGTAGCACGTGCCTGTAGTTCCAGCTACTCGGAAGGCTGAGGCGGAAGGATCGCCAGAGCCCAGGAGGTCGAGGCTGTGGTGGCCGGGAGTGGCCATTGCACTCCAGTCTGGGTGACAGAGTGAGACTCCAACTCAAAAATAAATAAAACAAATAAAATAAAATGATGGTCTGGGAGGGGACCCTTCATGGCCTCCTACTGTGTAGCGCTTGGCCTCTGTGGCGCCCGGTGCAGCCTCCGTCCCTGTGTGCCTTCATCTGAGGTCATCTCTTCGTCTTCCCTTTCCAAAACCTGTGCTGTCCTTCAGGACCCGTCTCTGCTGGATGGCCGAGTGGCACTTCTCCATGTTCCTGCAGGCACTGTGGTGTCACGACAGGGAGACCAGGTGAGCACCGGGCCCGAGGCCAAGAACGGGTTCATGGAACAGTCAGAGCCATTGCATAGCTTGGCTGCAGTGCCGGAGGAGACTGGTGCCATCAGGCAGCCGCCAGTGGTCAGCAAGGCCTCTGGCCCCAGGCCCTGTCCTTTGGCACAGCAGCGGAGCCCCTGCCCCTGGTGGCCATGGGCTGGGGAGCTCGGTGCCCACCTTTGAGTCCTGCCATGCTGGCCCTTTCTGCTCACACCAGAGAGTGTGTAGGTGGGCAGGTTTGGGGGAGGTGAGGTTGGCCTCAGAGTAGTTTCTTGGGGTGCATCTGCGACATTGGACGGAAATGTGTGTGATGTGTGCAGGGAGGCCCAGTGTGGGGAGGGCTCAGCTGTGGCCCCACTGGGGCAGGAGGCAGCGCTCTCAGGGGCCTGGCCGAAGGCATGGTGGTGTGACACCCTCCACGAGCCCTCAGGGAGAGAGCCTGTGTCTTGGCTTCCACGGAAATTTTGGACCAACATGTATTTGTCCTCAACACTTTGTATGAGGGTCCAGGGAGTGAAGGTGTGTGCATCTGAGGCCAGGCTTGCTGCTGGGGCTACTGAGAACACAAATTTCCTGATTGGTAGTTAAACAACAAATCGTAGACATGGCTGAAATTTTTCTGATGAGCACCTGTGCCCAGAGCTACTTGGGTAGACCGACTATGCGAAGGACCTGAAAGTGCCCAGTGTCTCCTGACTGAGCCCTGGGTCTTGTCTATGTGCCAAGGTCCAATAGTCTCTCCCTGCCCATGGACATCCCAGGTCACCTGCCCGGTCCTGCTTCTGGCTGCCCGGGGCGGCTCCCTGAGTTTGGGCTGGCTGCCGCCACCCAGACCAGCTGCCTTCTTCTGGTGTCTAGGACGTCAGCATCCTCTTCGTGGTCTCGGGGCTGCTGCATGTGTACCAGCGGAAGATCGACAGCCAGGAGGACACTTGCCTGTTCCTCACACACCCTGGGGAGATGGTGGGCCAGCTGGCGGTGCTCACTGGCGAGCCCCTCATCTTTACCATCAAGGCCAACAGGGACTGTGGCTTCCTGTCCATCTCCAAGGCCCACTTCTACGAGTGAGTCCCGGGGCCAGGACCGAGGGCCGCCCTCCCTCCTGGCCTCCTGTCGTGCCATCCCCCAGACATGTGTGACATGGGCTTCCCAAGGCTCTGCGTGGCTTTTTGTGGCACTCTTGCTCTCTGCCTTCTGTGTCCCTGGTCTTTATCCCCGAGGGCTTCGTGATGCACGGGCAGGTTACCCACAGCTTCTGTGGGAGCTTTTGAGCTCCTGCTACAAGTTTGCGCCTTCCGTGCATGTCAAGTGCAGGCCAGCATGTGTGCTCCCTGGTACAGCAGGGTCGCTGGACCTCCGTCCAGCTGGCACAGGGCTGCTTTGTGCTGCCACTTTCGTGGTCTGTGCCCAAGTCTTGGCATGTGGGCCCGACCCAGACACATCTGTTCCTGGGTCAGTTTCAAGGCTGCTAACTTGGCTCAGCAGGTCCGTGTTGGCAGTGAGCACCCTTCATGGCACTCACTGTGCGCACCCACAGCCTGTGTGTGTTCCTTAACTTTCCAGAGGTGTGTGCAGTGCCCATCAGGACCCTGGCTTCGTGTGTACTCTCTGCAGGGCATTCATAGATGGACAGTGCTGGAGGGCTCACAAAAGCCACCAGCTGCTGGGCACGTGGGCAGTGCTGTGTCACGGTGGAGCAGCTGCTGGCTGTGCCTGGGCTGTCCAGCCCTGGGCTAGTGGTCTCATCACCCCTCCAGTGGGTGGTGTGGCTCCCGTGTGATGGCGGGCTGTGGGTCCCGCCTACTCCTAGCACTGTGAGCAGGTAGAGGGTAGAGCTGGCAGAGCGGGGTTTGGAGGTGGGAGGCGGGGCTGGGGTGACTCCAGGTTGCCCTGCAGGATAATGCGGAAGCAGCCACCCGTGGTCCTGGGCGTGGCACACACTGTGGTGAAGCGGATGTCGTCTTTTGTGCGGCAGATTGACTTTGCTCTGGACTGGATGGAAGTGGAGGCTGGGCGTGCAATATACAGGTGAGGCCCCGGGCATCTGTCACACAGGTGAGGCCCATTGGTGTGTATCACACAAGTGAGGCCCTGGGTGTGAAGGGCACAGGTGGGGCCCTGGGCATGCGAAATACAGGTGAGGCTCCGGGTGTGTGATATACAAGTGAGGCCCCTGGCGTGCAGTGCACAGGCGAGGCCCCAGCATGCAGCACCCACGTAAGGCCTGCAGGCGTCTCCTTCTCGCTCTGGATACCCATATTGCGCTGTGTACAGTGTGGCAGCTCATGAACAAAGCCCGGCTACCGTGGCAGTTACGTACTGAAGGATGAATTCCCACAGCCCCACCCCCGAGGTACCCTGAGAAATGCACTTCACGGGTGTCGTGGCTTTTGTGCATTTGCACACGCTCAGACGTAGGTTCATGCGTGTCTTTCTGTGTTGGCACACATAAATCCATGCCCTTCTTTCAGGTGGCTCCATCAGAACCACTAGTGTTGTTACTGGTGTGAAGTCGAGCTCTCACCCTGTTGCCCAGGCTGGAGGGCAGCGGCACAGTCATGGCTCCCCGCAACCTCAACCTCCTGGGCTCAGGCGGTCCTTCCGCCTCAGCCCCCGAGTAGCTGAGACTGCTGGTGTGCGCCATCCCGCCATTATTTTCTTTCTTTTTTTTTGAGTTGGAGTCTCACTCTGTCACCCAGACTGGAGTGCAGTGGCCGCTCCCGGCCACTGCAGCCTCGACCTGCTGGACTCCGGCGATCCTTCCGTCTCAGCCTTACAAGGAGCTGGTACTACAGGCGCACGCCACCACACCCGGCTAATTTTTTTTGATTTATTGTGTAGAGATGAGGTCTCGCCAAGTTGCCCAGGTGGGCCTCAAACCCGCGGGCTCAGGCAATCCACTCACCTCGGTCTCCCAGAGCACGGGATTACAGGCTGAGCCACCAAGCCCGGCCTTATTTTTTTTTTAATTTTATTTTTGAGTTGGAGTCTCACTCTGTGCCTGGAGTGCAGTGGCACACCCCAATGTCGACCGCCTCAACCTTCCAAGGAGCCAGAACTACAGGCATGCGCCACCATGCCTGGCTAATTTTTGACTTATCGTAGCTACGAGGTCTGGCCAAGGTGCCCGGGCCAGGCAGTCCACTCGCTTCAGCCTCCCAAGGTGCCGGGGTTACAGGCTGAGCCACCGAGCCCGGCCTCTTCTCTGTTCATGTCTGAAGGCCTGGGACTTCTGGGAAGCTGGATCTGGCGCTGAGGTGGTAGCCAGGGCCCTCCTGAGCTCTGCATCTCGCGCAGGCAGGGGGACAGGTCCGACTGCACATACATCGTCCTCAGCGGCCGGCTGCGCTCTGTGGTCCGGAAGGACGACGGGAAGAAGCGCCTGGCGGGCGAGTACGGCCGCGGAGACCTCGTTGGTGTGGTAGGCGCCCAGGGCCCCCGCCCTCCGCTTCCTCCCTGGGCCTGGCCCGGCCGCTCTTTCTGGGAGAAGGAGCCCTGGAAGTGAACTGCAGGAAGGCAGCTCCCTCCTGGAGGCACGGCCTCTGGGCCTGGGCCCTGCCCGCTGTCGGGAAGCCCCTTGGGCCCCGGGCATCACCCTGGTTTTCAGGGTATGCAGGTTCCCACTCAGGTGGTGGCCCTGGAGGTTGAGGAGCAGCAGAGGTCACCTCTGGGAGGTCTGCAGCAGCCACAGTCCTCTGGGGCGCCTTGGGTCTTAAGCCACTTGGTGAGCTGTCCTCCATAGCTCCCAGGGCAGCCTCCTGAAGCTTGAGGGGCCGGGTGGGCGTGTGCCGAATGCTGCTTCCTGCCCTGGGCCTATGGGAGCTCTGCAACAGCATGTTCATAGCACCATGTTGCCCCCAGCACTACCTGAGTGGTGGCTCTTTCCCATCCGTCTGGGACTTCCCTGTGGTTCGGTGGCCCTGGGCCTCGGGTTGGCAGCGTGTGAATGCTTGCCATGCGAAAGCTCACACAGCTGGCCAGGTGCTGGCGCAGACACCCTAGGACCTGACAGCAGGGCTCCCGCAGGCCCTGGGGACATGTTTTAGAGAAACATCTTCTCCGAAGGCATTTGTTTCTGAAGGAGTGTTGAGATTACTGTTGCTCCAGCTTGTGGTGGCCAGTGCTTGTGTGTGGAACCTGTATGAATTGTTGGGGCTACCCTGGGCTTCCGGCGTGTTCCAGTGGTCTACAGCACGCCACACGCGCACCTCTGGCTGCTTCTGCCCTGCGGTAGAGGTGCACTGAGATGTGCCGTCCCCTTGCTTCCTGCACCCTATGACTGCGTGTGGCTCTCCTGCATGGCCACTGTCCCCGGCCATTGCACAGCGACAGATGTGGCTTGGCCCCAGTAGCCAGCTCCTCTTCCTCAGGTGGAGACACTGACCCATCAGGCCAGGGCCACCACAGTGCACGCCGTTCGCGACTCAGAGTTGGCCAAGCTGCCGGCAGGAGCCCTGACGTCCATCAAGCGCAGGTACCCTCAGGTAAGGGCAGCACAGGGCCCTGATTCAGAGCTGTGCCTTGAACTGGGGCGATTATTCAATGGGCTTCGTGCACGGCCAGCATCTGGGTGATGTGCACATTTAGGTGTTGGTCTCGTTGTGGTGGTCCGTCCCCAGCTGTCCCCTGAAGTGGATTGTCCACTGAGGGGCAGCGGCGCCTGGCTGTGACAGACCCTGTGTGATGGAGAAGCTCCGCCAGCCTGTCCTTGTCCTGCCTTCAGGGTTAGGGTGGCTTCCTCTGCTGTGGTCCACCTGCCCCTGCCGGGAGAGCACGAGGCGGGGCAAGGCTCAGTCTCCGGACTTGCCCTTCACGCCTGCTGGCTGCCCCAGGCAGCAGAGGCCACCGTGGGGCTTACCCAGGCAGCAAGAAGAAGGCGTCGCTGGGTCTTCCACAGCCACCAGGGCCACGGTCCACGGCAACTGTGAAACGTGGATGCAGCGTCCTGTCTCCCGCGTCTTGCTTGTGCGTCCTCGTCGGGTCTTTAGCTCCCAGTGTTTTCCCGTTTAACCTGTCTGGCTCTGGGGTCGGTTCTTTCTCTCCCCGCAGGTGGTGACTCGGTTAATTCATCTCTTGGGTGAGAAGATCCTGGGCAATCTCCAGCAGGCACCTGTGGCAGGTGGGTCACCCAGCCCCTCAGAAGGCCTCCTGGGAGCACCCCCCCACCCTGCCCGCACTGTGGCCCTACCCCACCTCAGAGCACCCACCCTCTGGACCACGGCCCCGCCCTCCTCAGGGCTCCTCCCACTCTGGGCCATGCCCCGCCCTGCCCTCGACCACACTCCCACTGTGGCCCCACTCCATCTCAGAGCGCCTCCACTGAGGACCATGGCCCCGCCCTGTCTCAGAGCTCCCCCCAGCCTCAGAGCTCCTCTTATTCTAGGTCTGGCCCCGCCCTGCCTCAGAGCTCCTCCCGCTCTAGGCCATGCCCTGCCCCGCCCCGCCACACTGTGGCCTCACCCCTACTCAGAGCTCCTCCGCTCTGGACCAGGGCCCCGCCCTGCCTCAGAGCTCTGCCTCCTCCAGCCCACAGCCCTGTGTGGGGTGGGGGAGTGGCGAGACCAGCGTTGTAGGGCGTTGGGCTGCTGGACTGCCCCACCCTCAGGGAAGGCCCCAAGCACCCACCAGGAGCAGCTTTGAGTGGAGTGGGATAAGGAGAGCTTAGATTTTGGCAGTGCCAGAGTATTGCGGAAATATGTCTCGATGTGGGCCGCTTTGGAGGGAAACTCTACTGTACGTGAAAGGAAGAAGTGTGATATAGCTGCCTCCTATTTTTGTTAGCTGGTTAGAAAGAAGGACGCCCCGCGCCTTTGGGAGGCTGAGGTGAGTGGATTGCCTGAGCCCGCGGGTTCGAGACCCGCCTGGGCAGCGAGACCTCATCTCTACAATAAATCAAAAAATCAGCTGGGCGTGGTAGCGCATGCCTGTAATTCCAGCTACTTGGAAGGCTGAGGCGGAAGGATCGCTGGAGCCCAGCAAGCGAGGTTGTGGTGGCCGGGAGCGGCCACTGCACTCCAGTCTGGGCGACAGAGTGAGACTCCAACTCAAAAAAAAAAAAAAAAGAAAGAAGGACGCAAAGGGCGAAACCTCTGGGAAAAGAGACTGATGGAGCGGATCTGCGTCAGCGCCTGGTGGAGTAGCTTGAGCATGCTGTGTCTGTCCTGTGCCAAGATGGAGAAACCTTTTAGACTGATAGGGACTTTTAGCGTTTTTCCTTCCCAGCTATTTATTCTTTTCTAGTTCTGAGTGTGTACTAGGCTGTCCTCTTTACCAGATCCTGAATATTGGAGAACACTGATGTTTGACTGTGGATCTCTGGCTGGCAGCATTTGACTCTAGGCCCCCTTGCTGTTGTGGGAACCCGGTCTCCTGCCTCCTGCCTCTGCCCAGAGCACCTCCCGGGACAGTCCTGCCCCTGCTTCTCAGCATGGCCTCCCTGACCTCCCGTCCACCCCAGCGCTCTCAGTTCTCCTTGCCTGCTTCCTTTTTCTCCTCGCAGGTGTCACCCTGACACATCACCTGTTCTCTCTCGGCGTTTGTCTGCTGTCTGCCTCTTGCGCTGCCATGTGAGCTGCATGAGGGCCGGGGTCTGTGTCTGTTTCCACAGCTGTGACCTTGTGCTTGAGTAGCTGGGACAGACACGAGCCACCACCCATTCCTTTCCATCTTCTTTTGGGTTGCTTTTTTTTTTGAGTTGGAGTCTCACTCTGTTACCCAGGCTAGAGTGCAGTGGCATGCCCACGGCCACTGCTGCCTTGAACTACTGGGCTCAGGGGGTCCTTCTGCCTCAGCCTTCCAAATAGCTAGAACAGTAGGCACACACCATCATGCCCAGCTGGCTTTTTATTTTATTTTATTTTATTTCATTTTATTTATTTATTTTTTTAGTTGGAGTCTCACTCTGTTGCCCAGACTAGAGTGCAGTGGCCGCTCCCAGCCACCGCAGCCTCGACCTGCTGAGCTCCAGCAGTCCTTCCACCTCAGCCTTCCAAGTAGCTGGAACTACAGGCGCACGCTACCACGCCTGGCTAGTTTTTGATTTATTGTAGAGATGAGGTCTCGCCAAGCTGCCCAGGAGGGTCTCGAACTTGGGGGCTCAGGCAATTCACTCACCTCAGCCTCCCAAAGCGCGGGATTGCAGGCTGAGCCACCGAGCCTGGCTCAGCTGACTTTTTTTTTTTTTTTTTTTTTTTTTAATTGTGGGGTACAATTCAGGGTTAGGTATACAGGCTTTTTTTTATTTATTGTAGAGACAAGGTTTTGCCAATTTGCCCAGCCTGGTCTCCAACTCCTGGGCTCAGGCAGTCTTCTTGCCTCTGCCTCCTAAAGTGTTGGGAGTACATGGGCAAGCCACCAGCCCAGCTTTTTTTAGGTTACTTGAACCTTTGAGTATTCCATTCTTATTTATCACCTGTGATTTCTATTATACCTCTAAATAAAGTATTTTCAGTGGCTACTCTAGGGATTGCAGTGTCCAAACTTACCTTTGTCTACTAACGTTAACATTTTATCACTGTGAGTGGAATATAGAAGGCTTGTCACTGTTTAGGTCACTTTATTCTGCCCCCTTGAGCACATGGTTGTCTTCACTCTTACCTCAACATTCACTGAAAACTCCTCTCAGTCAGTGTTGTAACTTTTGCTTTCAACCGTCAAGTGTGATTTTTGAAACTTGAGAGTCGTCTGTGCTGTTTACCCAGATGGTTTCCATTCCTGTTGCTTCTGCTTCCTTCCTGGTTTTCCAGGTCTCCTGCTGGTGTCGTTTCCTTTCTGAAGAATCTTCCTTAGCGGATTGTTGGAGTAGGTCTGCTGGCTGCACATTCTCTTCCTTTTCCCTCATCTGAGAATCTCTCTACTTTGCCCTCATCTGGAAGGGTACTTTAGCCAGATGTCTGGTTTTTAAAAATGTTGGGCCACTTCCAGGGCCAGGCAAGGAGGCTCGTGCCTAGAATTGTAGCATTTTGGGGAGTTGAGGTAGAAGGATCTCTTGAGCCCAGTTCAAGGCCAGCCTGGGCAACACAGCGAGACCTCGTCTCGACAACAAAGCAGAACAAAACAAAAAACCGGGCATGGTGACATGCATCTGTAGTGCCACTCCCTGGGATGCTGAGGTGGAAGGATCACCTGAAGTCAGGAGTTCGCGGCTGCTGTGAGCCATGATCGTGTCACTGCACTTCAGCCTGGGCAACGGAGTGAGACCCCAACTTAAAAAAAAAAAAAAAAAAGGAATTGTGTTTATAAACTACATACAGTATACATCAGCTTTTTCTTGTCAGTACATAAAGATGTGTTTTATTCTTTTTAAAAATTTTTTTTTTTAGAGACTGGGTCTTGCTCTGTTGCCCAGGCTGGAATACAGTTGGCGCAGTCATGGCTTATTGCAGCCTTGATCTCCTAGACTTAAGAGGCCCTCCCAGCCGGGCTGGGTGGCTCAGCCTGTAATCCCAGCGCTTTGGGAGACTGAGGTGAATGGATTGCCTGAGCCCGCGGGTTCAAGACCTGCCCTGGGCAACTTGGCGAGACCTCATCTCTGCAATAAATCAAAAATTAGCCAGGCGTGGTAGTGCGCACCTGTAGTTCCAGCTACTTGGAAGGCTGAGACAGAAGGATTGCTGGATCCCAGCAGGTCGAGGCTGCAGTGTCCGGGAGGCCACTGCACCCCAGTCTGGGTGACAGAGTGAGACTCCAACCAAAAAAAAAAAGAGGCCCCCCCATCTCAGCCCCTCAAGTAGCTGGGAATATAGGCGCACCACCATGCCAGGCCCTGTTTTATTGCCTTTGATAGCTAGTGCTGGTTCATTGAGCTGTACTCCCCTCACAGGCATCTGGATGGCCTTTGGCCCTGTAAACAATGCTGCCACAAGCATGTGGGTCACGTCCTTCTGGGCTGGCAGACATTTTCTGCTGGCCACCTCTGCAACCAGGGATGGGCTCTTGAGCCCTGGCTTTTGCTGCCTGCCCCCAGGTTTGCCTTAGTGACCCCTTCCCTCCACACTGGCCCTCAGCCCCTCTCCCACCTGCATCCCCCTACTCTGACCATGACCACCCAGGAGCTCCATGTCTGATGGTTTTGGAACCCGCTCACCAGGGTGAGATGCACAGAGTCAGAACCAAAGCCTCTGCAGGAGCTGGACCTCCCTGTGTGCAGTTGGGGAATGGGAGGTGCAGGCAAAGGATGGGCCGTGGACACCATTAGTGCTGGCCGGCCCGAGGGGGCTGCAGAGGTGGAGAGCCCATGGACTAGCCCACAGAAGACTCACTCGGGCGGGAGTGTGGCTGGTGGTGCGGTGGCCGGCAGGAGTGGTTGGTCCGCCCCTCAGCCTGCTGTGAAAGCAGGAGGCGCCCCTCACTAAAGTGACCAGCACCAACAAGGGACCAGGGACCTCTGACGGCAGCTGATGAACTTGGGAGCCACGTGTCCCATCCTTGCCACTGTGTTGGCTGAGTGGCCCCTTGGCTGCCGTGGGACCAGGGAGGACATCCTGGCTGTCTGGGTGAACCCCTTGGAGGCCTGTGGTCTCAGGATCGGGAAGGCTTTGTCTGCTTTGACTTTCCCTCGCAGACAAGGGCTGTCGTGGGGTTGCCTGGGACTGCCCGCCCTGCCCTCACACAGACTATCCTATGCCCCCTCAGTTTCTGGAAATCTCGTAGCAATAGGGGACAATGACAGCATGTCTGTTGATCTGTGCACGCACATTGCTGTGTCTAGAGGGAGTGGTAGAGCCTCCACAAGGATTGCTTCAGAGCATGTGTCCTCTTCGTGTCAGACACCTGAACGACTTGAGTGTGTCCTGAGCCTCCCATACTTTTCATTTGCTTCCTGTCGCCATCAGCAGGTCAGGACGACCTGGCTTCCTGGGCAGCAGGCACGTCAGGCCTGGGTGTAGGATCCAGGATACTGTGGGCAAGGACCCAGGGCTCATCAGGAAGGGGCAGCTGGGAGGTGCAGGGAGGTGCGAGGTCCAGAGCAGCCTGGCCCATGGCGCATCTGGAAACACTGGGGCTCTGGGCATCCAGGCTGATGGCCTGTGCTCTGCAGGTCACCCGCTGGGGCTCCCCGCAGCAGGCAGCAAGTGGGACGCAGGAAACCCGGCTGGCAACCTGTCTACAGTGGCGGCGATGCCCGTGTCTGAGGACGTGCCCCTCACTGCCTTTGCCCTGGAGCTCGAGCACGCCCTCAGCGCCATTGGTAAGCCCCGCGTCCTTCTGGGGTGCTCTGGAGAGTAAAGGGGTTGCGTCTGTGTCCGCTCTGCGAGGAGGCTGTCCTGGCCTCGGGTCCTAGGGTCTCCAGCGGGAGCCCACACCTTCAGGGCTGGGCCCTCTGCTCTTAGGGGGAGCAGAAGGACATGCAGGCAACCTCCTGTAACTCGCCACTTATAGGCAGTGCTGAGATGCCAGAGTGTCCCTGGGATTGGGAAACAATCCAGGTAGAGGGGTGACTGGGGCCGTAGGGAGTCTCTCGGTGTGGAGGCCCCCAGAAGCCCATCCTCACCCCTCACCACAGACCCCTCCCCCTGCAGCTTGACCTGAGGCTCCGAGCCTGCAAGGGCCCCAGCCAGTGACTCTGTGCCTTGGGGGTGGCGGCAGTGGGTAGCTAGGGCCCGAGGTGGGATCAGATGACGGGTGGTGTTCTCAAGTTCCTGACGGCTGTTAAACTTTGGGATTCAAGAACAAAGAATTGAAACTCCTGAGAACTCTTGGGAACTTGCAAAACCACAAGGTATTTTGTATTCTTCTTGACGTGTTCTTTACAAGTGTCTGTGTGATTGTGAATGATGTCATGAAGATGGCAAGTCAGTGCTCTGTGGTAGGGTTGTACTAAAAGTTCCAGGGTTGTCTCTGCAAAATGATATCAGAATGAGTGCAGTGAATGTTGTGTAGTTATCATGAAACAATGTATTATGACAGGAGTATCTATTTCACTTCCATGTGAAAGTATGATCCTCGTGGTTCACAGTTGATAATAGAGGACGTAAATGCCAAAAAAGATTTTTAAAATTGAAAGGTACTACTACTACAAATATCTAATATTTAAAAGCTATTCTAAAATGTCTGTCCTCAAGAGATCCTCCTGCCTCAGCCTCCCAGAGTGCTGGGATTACAGGTGTGATCTCTCATGCCTGGCCATAAAACAGCCATTCTCAAAAGGAAATTCTAAAACACAGAAAGCATTAATTGTCTTGTCTGATAGTCTTGATCTTTGTTTCACAACAGATACTCCAAACATATGTGGAAAGTTTCACTCCCTTTTGATGACATTGGTCTGGCTGTTCAGTGTGCATCCAGAAGCATCTTCTGTTGTGGAGATGTATTGCTTTGTAGAAACTTATCCCTTAAAATAAGCTTTATTTTGAAGCAATTATAGAATCACAGAAATTGCAAAGTGGCGGAGAGAGAGCTCACCTGCCCGTCCCGTAGCTCCCCTGGCAGTAACACCTTGCGCAGCAGCATTGAGGTGGGGAAGGGGCGTCTGCACAGCCACAGCCCCTCCGAGCCATGCCCATCTGTGAGCCCTCCGGTGTGTGTGTGTGCACGCTCTCCGCCACGGGACGTGGCTCAGGCTCAGTAGCCTGTACCACAGCTGGGTCGCAGGATTACTGCCCAGCCTGGCCCCAGCACCCCACTCACAGGCGGCCACGTATCTGTTCTGTGCCTCCAGAGCTTTGCCATTCTGAGCAGCTATGAAAGTGGACTCACTCCCATGTGGCCTACTGGGATTGGCTTTCTGTGTGTGGAAGGATGTGGTGTGGTGACCGCTGGTTCCTTGTTGCTGAGGGATGCCCCATTCATTGGGCGGCCGCTCCACAATGCCTCTCACTCGCCCACTGGAGGCCTCCGGGCTGCTTCCAGTGTGGGGCATGACGGATGGCGCTCCTGTGAGCATTTGGGCGATGGATTTTGTGAGCACACACATTTTCATGTCTCCGGGACAAATGCCCAGGAGTGTGATTAGCATGCTCGAGTGTGCTTAGTTGTATAAGAAACCGATGAACGGTTTTCCAGGGTGGCTGCACCATTTTACATTCTCACCAGCAGCAGATCAGTGATCTGGTTTTACTACAGCTTTGTCAGCATTTGGTGTTGTCGCTATTTTTTTTTTAAGGCTAGGTCTTGTTATGTTGTCTAGGTTGGACTCAAACTCCTGGGCTCAAGTGATCCTCCTGCCTCAGTCTCCTGAGTAGCTGAGACTCCAGATGCACACCACTTCACCTAGCTTGGTGGTGTCATTATTTTTTATTTTAGCTGTTCTGATAGATGAGTGGTGATAGCACTTCACGATTTTTTTCTTTTGAGTTGGAGTCTCACTCTGTCGCCCAGACTGGAGTGCAGTGACCCACTCCTGGCCACCGCAGCCTCGACCTACTGGATTTCGGCGATCCTTCCGCCTCAGCCTTCCAAGTAGCTGAAACTACCGGCGCGTGCTACCACACCCATCTAGTTTTGCTTTATTGTAGCAACAAGGTCTCCCCAAGTTGCCTGGGTGGGTCTGGAACCCATGGACTCAGGCAATCCACTCGCCCCAGCCTCCCAAAGTGGTGAGATTACAGGCTGAGCCACCAAGTCCGGCCTACATATCATACTTTTAATTTGCATTTCTCTCGTGATTGGTGGTGTTGAACATCTTTTCATGTACTTATTTGCTGTCTGTAAATATTCTGTATTCTCTTTGGTGAAGTATTTATTCATATCTTTTGCTCATTTTCTAATTGGGCTGTTTGTTTTCTTACTGTTGAGATTGGGGTTTGTTTGGTTTTTTTACTGATTTCTTTTTTTAAAAAATAGATTTTTTTAGGCCAGGCGCGGTGGCTCATACCTATAATCCCAGCACTTTGGGAGGCCGAGATGAGAGGATTGCCTGAGCCCACGGGTTCGAGATCAGCCTGGGCAACTTGGTGAGACCTTATCTCTACAATAAATCAAAAAATTAGCCAGGCATGGTGGCGCATACCTGGAGTTCCAGCTACTTGGAAGGCTGAGACAGAAGGATCACCTGAGCCCAGCAGGTCGAGGCTGCGATGGCCGTGAGCGTGCTACTGCTCTCCAGCCTGGGCAACAGAATGAGACTCCAACTCAAAAAAAAGATTTTTTTAAAGTAGTTTTAGGTTCATAGCAAAATTGAACAGAAATTTCCATTTATGGCCAGGCGCGGTGGCTCAAGCCTGTAGTCCCAGCACTTTGGGAGGCCAAGGTAAGTAGATTGCCTGAGCCTGGTAGTTTGGGACTGGCCCTGACAACTTGGCAAGACCTCGTCTCTACAATAAATCAAAAATTGGCCAGGTGTGGTAGAACACGCCTGTAGTTCTGGCTGCTTGGAAGGTTGAGGTGGAAGGATTGCCGGAGCCCAGCAGGTCGATACTGGGGTGGCTGTGAGCATGCCACTGCACTCCAGTCTGGGCAACAGAGTGAGATTCCAACTCAAAAAAAAAAAAGTTTCTATTTGCCCACCCAGCTCTGGACACATACAGCCTCTGCCACCACTAACAGCCCACCATAGTGGTGCATTCGTTACACCTGATGAACCCACATGGACATGTCATCATCACCCAGAGTCCACAGTTCACATGAGGGTTCGCGCCTAGCATTGCTGTCAGGCTGTGCCCTACCAAATCAAGTGGACAGCACAGAGTCCAAGAGGCTGAAGGAAGGACCCAGAGACAGTGGGCAGACATAGGTGTACTTGGGACTGGCGTGCGGGGGGTCCAGGAGCAGCCAGCTGGATGGGGTCGCTGCTAGCTGCTTGCAGAGGGCATGGAGTCTGAAGGCTGAGCATGGCAGCACAACACCTGTTATCCCAGCACTCCAGGAGACCGAGGCAGGAGGATTGCTGGAGGCCAGGAGTTTGAGACCAGCCTGGGTAACAGCAAGACCGTGTCTCCAACAGTGGCTCCCTGTGTGCCTTCTCCAGCAGTGACTGAGGCTTCTGGATGCTCCAGGTGTGGTGGTGTGTACCTATAGTCCCAGCTACTTGGGATGCTGAGGTAGGAGGATCACCAGAGCTCAGGAAGTCAAGGCTATGGTGAGCTGCACTCCAGCCTGGGCAACAGAGCGAGACTCTATCTCTAAAAAGTGGGCTCGGTGGCTCAGCCTGTAATCCCGCGCTTTGGGAGGCTGAGGTGAGTGGATTGCCTGAGCCTGCAGGTTCGAGACCCACCTGGGCAGCGAGACCTCATCTCTACAATAAAATTCAAAAAAAAATCAGCCGGGCATGGTAGCACATGCCTGTAATTCTGGCTACTCGGAAGGCTGAGGTGGAATGATCGCTGGAGCCTAGCAGGTGAGGCTGCAGTGGCCGGAAGCGGCCACTGCACTCCAGTCTGGGCGACCAAGACCAAGTGAGACTCCAACTCAAAAAAAAAAAAAAAAGTTAAAAAAAAGAGGTGTGTCATTTATGGAGCACCCTTTCCTTGGTAACTTCCAGGTAGCCCCAAACAAAGGGTCTCGGTTCCTTGCACATCCTGCGTTTCAAGGAACGGGCTGGGACCCGGGTGTTCTTCACTGACTAGCAGTGAACCTCCAGGTTGACTTCTGGTTCCTTAGCTTGGAGCTCTGGACAAACGTCTTCTTAGGCTATAAGGTCATTCTCAGGGCTTGCTTGCAGCATTTCTGTCCCACACAGTTGTACATTCCGTGGGTTTGGACGATGACATGGCTCCACCATTATAATTCTGTCCAGAAGAGTTTCGCTGCCCTGAAACCCGTGCACTCCTGTTCATTCCCCCACCCCAAGCCCTGGAAACCACTGATCCTTCCACTGTCTCCACAGTTTGCCTTTCCTGGAGTGTCATATATCTGGAATCATGCGATATGCGGACTTTTCAGGGTGGCTTCCTTTATTCAGCAATACACACGCCAGTTTCCCGTGTCTTTTCATGGCTTGAGAGTTCATCTCATTTATTTCAGTGCCAAATACTATTCCGTTGTTGGATGTACTGCAGTCTGTGTATCCATCACCTCCTGAAGGGCATCTTGGTTGCTTCCAAGTTTTGGCAGTTATGAGCATGTTGCTATATCTGTGTGCAGGATTTTGTGTGGACATAAGTCTTGGCTCCTTTGGGTAAATACCAAGGAGTGTGAATGTTGGATCACATGGTCAGAGCTTGTTTAGTTTTTTAAGAAGCTGCCACACTGTCTCCCACAGTGGTGCCTGCATCCGTTCCCCAGCAGCAACTGAGGGTTCTGGGTACTCCGCGTCCTCACCCGTGTTTGGTGTTGTCAGTGTGTTGTGTTTCAGCCTTTAGTAGGTATGCAGGGCATCCCGTGCTGTTTTAATTTGCCTTTCCCTGATGATGGGCGACAAGCATTTTTCCATCTGCTACTTTGCCATCTACACATCTTCTCTTGTGAGGTATCTTTTCAGATCTTTAGTTGGATTGTTTTCTTACTGAGTTTCAAGGTTTTTTTGGTATATTTTGGACAGCAGTTCTTTAGCAGATGTGTCTCTTTTTTTTTTTCCTTCGTGGTATAGGTTCACTCAGCCCAGGCTAGATTACAGAGTTACAGTCACAGCTCACAGCAGCCCTGACCTCCCGGGTTCAGGCAGTCCTCCTGCTCAGCCTCCCAAGTAGTTGGGACTACAGGTGTGTGCCATCATGCCTGGCTAATTTTTTTTTTTTTTTTTTGTAGAGACAAGGTCTTGCTGTGTTGCCCAGACTGGTCTTGAATTCCTGGACTCAAGTGATCCTCCCACCTTGGCCTCCTAAAGTGCTAGGATTACAAGCATGAGCCACTGTCCCTGGCCAGATATGTCTTTTGCACATGTTTTTTTCCAGCCTGTGGCTTGTCTTCTCATTGCTCTTTACTGTGTCTTTCACAGAGTGGAGGCTCATAAAGAAATGGAGTCCAACTTCCCAGTTATTTCCTTTATGGATCTCACAATTGGTGTTAAATCTGAAATGTTGTTGCCAAGCCCTAGGTTATTTCAATTTTCTCCTGTTTTAACGTCTTGGAGTTTTACAGTTTTATGTGTTATGTGTATGTGTGATGCACTTTGGGTTAGCTTTGTGGAGGGTGTGAGTGGCTACACTAACTGTTTATTCTGTGAATGTCCACCTTGTTCCAGCACTGGTTATCAAAAGCCTCTTTTCTCCATTGTGCTGCCTTTGCCTTTGCTCCTTGGTCAAGGGTCCACTGTCTATATTTATGTGCGTCTATTTCTGGGGATAGCTTGCTTTTTTATTCCTTGTATGCCTTCTTCTGACAAACAGAAGCTCTTAATTTCTTTCTTTTTTTTTTTTTGAGTTGGAGTCTCACTCTGTCACCCAGGCTGGAGTTCAGCAACACACTCATGGCCACCTCAGTCTCGACCTGCTGGGGTCAGGTGATCCTTCTGCCTCAGTGTTCCAAGTAACTGGAACTACAGGCACGCACCAGTATGCCTGGCTAATTTTTGATTTATGGTAGAGATGAGATCTCGCCAAGTTGCCCAGGCTGGCCTCAAACCCGTGGGCTCAGGCAATCCTCTCATCTTGGCTTTCCAAAGTGCTGGGATTATAGGCGTGAGCACCACACCCTGGCTTTCTTAATTCTAATATAGACTGATTTGTCCATTTTTTCCTATAGGGTTACTTGTGTTTTATGGAATAAATTTTATCCTGCCCTCCAAATCATGAAGATGTTGTTCTAAAAACCTTATTATTTTACTTTTCCTTTTTAAATTCACATTTGCCTTGGACCAATTTTGGTTATAAAGACGGCGGAAGCCAAGATTTGTTTTTTTCTGTTGGGACGTTTGCAGAGCACGCTCCCTGGGCCCTGGTCACTACCTCGCCTGGGTTTGGCAAGACAGCAGCCCCTCAAACGAGTTGCATGAAGCAGGCCTTCTGCTCACAGGTGGCAGAGCAGCCGGTGCCGAGGGCCACTGCAAGCTCCTGCCCGGGGCTCAGGAGAACGGCTCGGGACCCTGGGGAGCAGCCGCCCTGGGTTGTCTTCCCTGGAGAGGCGGCCTTGGGCTTCCTTCAGTGAAGAGGGAGGCAGCACCTCAGGCCCAGGCACTCCCCCACGGCAAGAAAGGGTCGGCAGTGGTTTTCGCAGGCACCAGGCCTCAGCCAGGACAGGCCGGCATGTCCTTGGAGGGACTCCTGGGGCAGACTTCCATCATCGCACTTGTGTTTCAGGCCCAGTCCTGCTGCTGACCAGCGACAACATAAAACAGCGCCTCGGCTCTGCCGCTCTGGACAGGTACGCTAACCTCTCAGAGAGACGCCGGCCAGCCTCAGTTCCTCCTCAGCCGTGCAGCACAGCACTGAGACGCACCTCCTGTCTGCATCCCCGTACCTGCATGACCTGCAGGCTGCTTGTCTGGCCATGTCGTGCAGGGGGCGGTGCCACTCACATCCCCCAGCACACGACAGGCACTGTCAGGTCTCCAGGGGGCCTTACTGTGTCTCACCCTCTCCTGGGACTGCCCCGGGGGGCTCCCAGTTCCGGGACTCAGGGGCAGCCTCTGCTCGACCCACCCAGAACCCTGGACAGCTGCAAGTGCAGGCGGAAGGGAAGGCGTGGCGGCCGGCTCAGCCCTCTGCTGCCCTCTCTGGGGGCCGGGGGGAGCACACATGCGTGAGGCGTGGGCCTCCTGGAGGCTCTGCGGAAGCTGAGTGCTGCCTCTGCCCCTCGCAGCGTCCACGAGTACCGGCTGTCCAGCTGGCTGGGGCAGCAGGAGGACATCCACCGGATCGTGCTCTACCAGGCAGACGGCACACTTACGCCCTGGACCCAGCGCTGCATCCGGCAGGCAGACTGCATCCTCATCGTGGGGCTGGGCGAGCAGGAGCCCACGGTGGGCGAGGTGAGCGGGCGGCCGGTGGGCCTGCTCGGCCCTCCTGTACGCGGGATGCTGTGGGGCCTCAGGGAAGGACAGACAGCAGGCGCCAGCCCCAGCCGCCTTCCCTTGCTAGTCCTTGCACACAGTGGGCCAGGGCCCCCTGTGACGTCGGAGCCTCTGGCCGCCTTTAACACTTGCAGATGTGCGTGTGAAGCACTGCAGTGCAGGTGTCAAGAGCTGTATAAATAGTGCCCCACTTTGAATCACTTTGGAATGCCCTTTTCGTCAACACTTAGGATTTGTGCTGCATCTGTGTGGTTCCCCTCGTAGTTTCCATTTGTGAGGCCCCCCCAGCCCGATGGCTGAAAAACCCGTCGCGAGGACAGGCTGTGTGCAGGTGCCTTCAGGACACTGACCTGGAAGGACCTGAGCCCCAGGGATGGCCACCAGGCAGTCTGCCCAGTGGCTTGTGCAGTTTCATGTGCCTCCCTGCCTTCAGACCTGAGCCCTGAGGGGGGCCTCTGCGGCCAGCCTTGCCCCAGGCCAGGGTTGTGACGCTGGGCCCTGTCTTCCAGCTGGAGCAGATGCTTGAGAATACGGCGGTGCGCGCCCAGAAGCAGCTGGTTCTGCTGCACAGGGAGGAGGGCCTGGCGCCGGCGCGCACGGTGGAGTGGCTCAACATGCGCAGCTGGTGCTCCGGCCACCTGCATCTGCGCTGCCCGCGCCGCGTCTTCTCCAAGAGGAGCCTGCCCAAGCTGGTGAGACCTGCAGGCGCTGTGCCCGGCCGCTGCCTGCTGCGCCTGCTCCGAGCTCGGGGTTTGCTTCCCTGAGCCCTGGGGACGTCCCGGGCATGTTCCGTGTTTCAGGGTTCATTTCCCTGCATTCCAAGGACATTCCCCACATTCTCTGTGCTTGGGGTTCGCTTCCCCGAGCCCTGAGGGCGTCCTACCTTCTCTGTCTGCCTCCCTGCATCGGGGCTCTCTGGAGTCTGCTGAGGTCAGCTTCCCTCTCCTCATGCCTGTGAGTTCATGCAACTTGACCTCCCTCCTGGGGACTCTTTGGACCATGGTGTGGTGATACTCCCATAATGAGGTGCCAGCATGGTGGAGGCGTACACACAGGGGAGCATCAGAGGCCCAGGGCCTGATAGAGGGGGCTCTGGGACTGAGCCTGGGGTTCTTGCATTCAGACCACGTGGGTGGTGTCAGGTCAGCACAACGACTCTTCTGGGAAGACGCACAAGTCCTGCGGTGCCTTTTTCAGGGTGTCCGCAGCCCTAGGGGCTGGAGGCGCAGGGTTGCCCGTGTGCTGCAGTGCCCACACCTGCAGCTCCTTGGGGAGTACTGAGGCTGCATCTCTCCCTGGGAGCCTGTGCCCTGAGAGCACCATCGGCTCCAGATGCCGCAGGGCTCAGGGGACCCTGTGGCATGGCTCTGAGAAGCTCTCTGGCTTTGGTGACCTGGCTGCCCCCTCTGGGCCTGCCCACTCACCTGGCCCTCTGCCAACATCCTCCCCCAACCTGGGCTCTGTGTGACCTGGAGGGGACGCTAGCTCAGAAGTGGAGGCAGCTCACCCTGGCGTGTCGGGATGCGAGGGGCTAGCCCCAGAGTTCCCGCCAGCCCACGCCCACTGGCTCCTCTGGCAGATGGAGATGTACAGACGCGTCCTCCAGCGGCCCCCAGACCGGCACTCGGACTTCTCCCGCCTGGCAAGGGTGCTGACAGGCAACGCTATCGCCCTGGTGCTTGGGGGAGGGGGAGCGAGGTGAGTGCCACCCCACACGCGGTCCTCACACGTGTGTACGTTGTGACTGCTACCTATGCGTGCCACGCCATGCTGGGTGCTGCGGGGACAGTGGTGTCGCCCCACAGACAAGAGGCCCTCGGGCCACGGTGGGTGCCGGCCAGCTGTCCAGACCCAGCCTCCAGCCCAGCCTGCTCGGGTCAGATCCTGCGAATGCCCCAGGGTGAGGGCATCTGAAGGCCCTCTGTGCCAGTGTGGCTGTGAGCAGCTCAGAGTGAGGCTCTGCCTAGACGTGCCTTGCTCAGCAGCCGTTTGTCTCCTCGCCTGAAACTGCCCACCCTTTGCCAGTCTTGCCCTTGGGCTCCTGGTGAGCTTCTTCCCACTTTAACACACACTTGGTGCCATAATGACCTGACCTGCTCACGCACTGTGCTCCTTGATGGACTTTTCTTTTAAAGCAAGTTTTATTGAGAGGACAGAAAAGCTCCCACAGTGGGAGGGGACGCGAAGGGGTTGTCCCTTTAAGGACTTTTAGCCCCACAAGCCTCCGCTGAGCTGTCCTCTGACACCACCCTTCTCCTGAACCTAAAGGGAAATGCACTTGGACTGAGACCACCGGTGCCTCCTGGGGAGGGCGGGCAGGGTCACCCACAGTGATGCCCTCTCGGGAAGGGTGGGCCCAGGGCTGTGCCACTCCACTGGGCTAGAGCCCCTGCAGGCCCTCCCACCCCTCACACCTGACACCAGCACTCAGACCCTGGCATGCCACTTGTGCGGCAACGTGGGCCTCCGGCCCTCTCCCGGCTCAGCCTGAGTGGTGGGGTGATGAGCGCAGAGGGTCTTCTCATCACGCGTTTGTTTGGTCTTCTCGTCACGTGTTTCTGCGAGAAAGCTGAGGGGGCTGGCCTCGAAGGGCTGGGTGCTCTGCCAGGAGTGCCCGGTGGGGACAGAACCAGGGCTCTGCTGTGGCTCTGGCGCCATGGGTGGCTCAGAGAAGTGAGTCCAGACCTGGATCTGGTGTGCGGGCCAGATCAGCAGTATTTTTTAATGAAAATGTGGTTTTAATTTAAGTAATGCTTAGAAGCCCCTGGTTCTGAGGCACATAACTCAAAACAGCAGTCCCGGTAGCCTCCAGCCCCAAGTCCAGATGCCCAGAAGTCACCGCTGCACCTCCATGGCCATCTGCTTATCTATATTTCTAACTAGTATTCCTGTTCTCCTAATTTTTGTTTCTTTCAGGTTGAGAGTCCTGACTTCCTAATCCCCTCCAGCATACACAGTCAGTTCGTATCTGCCCATCTCTCTCTCTCTGCCAGTCAGTCATCTGCATGTGGGTCTGTCTTCCTCCTTCCCACACAGTCCCAGAGTGGTTCCACACCAGCAGAGCCAGTACTCAGTGTCTGTCATAGTCAGTGTCATTGTCGTGACAATGTGGATCTTATTCAGAGCTAAGTCATATCATGTTGTATGCTATGATTGTATTTCTTTCCTTTGAGTCAATCATGGTTGCATTTGCCATTTGCTCGGTTCTCTGGGTGTCATTAATTCATCCACAGACGCTCTGCTGCAAGCATTAAGCTCCTCAGTATTTTCAGACAGACACTCACCTCTGCTTGATTTTCAGGAGTCACTCTCCCTAAAGCCCTCCAGCCTCCTAATCTTACCTCTGCAGGTTGCTTCTGACACATTGCTGAGATTTTGTCCTGGCAACCTCCTTCGCCATCATCCTGGAAACGGTCTTTGCTTCTCCCTGTATGGAACTCTATTTCCTGCCTTCCACGTCTTCCTCTTTCTTGATGTAGCCCCCATTTTGGTGGACACGTACTCTAGAAAGCATACGTACTTCTCCTTAGGAGAAGACGCCTGGGAGGTAAAAATGTTAAGACCGTGTATGCCAAAAGATATCCTTATTCTGTTCCTATACCTGAGGGGCAGTTTGGCTGGCTATGGAATTCTAAATTCTCCCTGAGAATTTTTAAGGCATGGTCTTTTAAGCTCTTCGTATTGCTATTCAGTGCTCTTTTTATTCACGAGGCCTGTTTTTTCTTCTGGGACCTTGAAGGAGAACCTCTTAATTATTGGTATTCTGAAAGTAGTTGACTATGTTTTGTTTTGTTTTCACATCCACTGCACTGGATGGCTTCCCAGTGGGCCCTTTCACATATTGAAATTCACAGACTTCAAACTCCGGGAAATTCTGTATCCTTTAAGACGATGTTTACCTCTTTTTTCCCTCTGTTCTCTCTTCCTGGAATTTCTAGTGGCCAGATTTGGGACCTTCTAGAGTCCTCTAGTTCTCCAATCTCTTCTCTCCCATACTCGCTGTCTTTTTGTTCTACTTTGTAGGCTTTTCTCAAATATATCTTCTAGTTGATCTTTCATACTGAAACATTTCTAACGCCTGAGTGCTTTTTTCTCATAGTATTCTCTCTTTGTTTCATGAATGCACTGTTGTATTTCTCTGAGAATATCGATGGCAGGATTTTTACTTGTTTGTTTGCTTTTTCTTTTCTTTTTTTTTTTTTTTTTTGAGTTGAAGTCTCACTCTGTCACTCACACTGGAGTGCAGTGGCCGCTCCCGGCCACCACAGCCTCGACCTGCTGGGCTCCGGTGATCCTTCTGCCCCAGCCTTCCAAGTCGCTGGAACTACAGGTGTGCACCACCATGCCCAGCTAATTTTTTGATTTGTTGTAGAGATGAGGTCTCGCCAAGTTGCCCAAGCTGGTCTCAAACCCCTGGGCTCGGGCAATCCTCTCGCCTCCATCTCCCAAAGTGCTGGGATTGCAGGCTGAGCCACTGTGCCCGGCATCGGCTGTGGTATTGGTGAGTAGTGTTCCACCACACACCACACTTTGCTTATCCCTGCTCCTGTTGATGGACGTCTGGGTTTTTCTCTGGTTTGGGTTATTATGAACAAAACTGTTACAGCCATTCTTGTTCAAATCCTGTTGTAGACATACGTTTTCCTTTCTCATGGCTGGGCAGTTGTACCATTTTACTCTGCTACCACAGTATATGAGAGTTTGAGATGTCCACATCCTTGCCAAGCCTTGGTATCATCACCAGCGTTTCAAGTTGTAGCCATTCAGATGGGTGTGCAGTGGTGGCTTCCCGGGATCTAATTTGCATCTCCCTGATGATTAATGAGATCAAACTCCTTTTTTATGTGCTTCTTGGCCATCTGTGTATCTCCTTTTGTGAAGTATCCATTTAAGTTCTTTACCAGCTTTGAATTGGTTGTCTGTTTCATTCTTGGAGGAGTTCTTGATGTATTCTGAACACAAGTCTCTTGCAGATACACTTACTCTTCTCAGTCTTTGGCTTTTCTTCTCATCTTGTTAATGGCGTTTCTGGGTGAACCATTTTAAATTTTGATGACACGTGATCTTCCAGTTTTTTTATGGTTATGAATTCTGGTGTTCTGAGAACTTTTGCCTATCCCAAGGTCACAGAGGTGTTCTACATTTTCTTCTGGAAGTTTTACGATTCCAGCTGGTACATTTTTCCTCAAGTTAAGTTTTGTCACTGGTGTGAGGTGGGAGTTTATTTTTCCTATTTGGCTCTCTGGTTGCTCCAGTGCCATGTGCTGAAGACCTTCCCTTCCTCCTCAACTGCTCTGGCGCCCATTTCCATCCAGGGATTCCTCTCCCCAGGTGTGAGTCTATAGGTAGACCTTGGGAGGTTCCCCTGATGTGTTTGTTTCTTCTTAATTACAATGCTTCACTGTCTTATTTACCATAGCTTTATAGTAACTCTTGATATCAAGGGGTGTAATTCCTTGCTTTTTTTTTCAAAATAGTTTGACTATCCTAGATCCTTTGCATTTTCATGTAAATGTTAGAATTAGCTTGTCAGTGTCTCCAAAAAGAAAAGCCTACTGAGATTTGGATGGGAGAAACATGGGCTCTGTAGAACATTTTGGTGAAAATAACGTCATACCTACATTGAGCCTTCCAACCCCTAATCGAGGCATATCTCCCTATTTACTGAAATCTTCCTTTGTTTCTCTCAGTAATGATTTGCAATCTTCATTGCAGAAGTCTTGCACATCTTTTGTTAAGTATATTTCTAAGTATTTTATTTTAAAAACTACTACAGGGCCGGGCGCGGTAGCTCAAGCCTGTAATCCCAGTACTTTGGGAGGCAGAGGTGAGAGGATTGCCTGAGCACAGGGGTTTGAAACCAGCCTGGACAACATGGTGAGACCTCATCTCTGCAATTTAAAAAAAAAAAAAAAGCCGGGCATGGTGACACGTGCCTGTGGTTCCAGCTACTTGGAAGGCTGAGGCAGAAGGATGGCCTATGCCCAGCCAGTCGAGGCTGCGGGACAGAATGAGACTCCAACTCTAAATAAATAAATAAATAAAAACTATTATAAACAGTATCCTTTATATTTTGTTTCAAATTGCTACCAGTGTACAGAAATACGATTGATAGCTATAAATTGATCTTATATCTCTCAGTCTTGCTAAGTTAGTTTATTCTTGCAGCTTTTTGGTATATCCCATTGGATTTTCTACATACACGCTTATGATTTCTGGGAATAAAGCAGTGTTTTCCCTCCTGCCTAACGTTCAGATAGAGTTGTTTGTTTGTTTGCCTGCTTGCTCTATGACAAGTGGCTGCTGAAGAAAAGCCCTGCTCCAGTCCTGGGGGAAGGCCTTCTGCTGACCCACAAAATGCGATCTTGGCTGTAGGCTTCATCTCAGTGCCCTTGACCAGACCGAGGAAGTTCCCTTCTGTTCTTCGTTCGCTGAGTTTTTTATCATGAGTGGTGGTTTTTATGGATCTGTTGGGATGGTTGTGTTTTCTCCATAACCTGTTAATGTATGAATTACACTGATTTTCAAGTTGAAACTATCATTATATTCTTGGAATAGACCCATTTGGTTATGATGTGTTATCTTGCTTATATATTGCTGGATTCAATTTGAATCTGAGAGATTGAACTGAAATTGTTCTGTCTTGAAATGTCTTTACTGGGCTTTGATATGAAGGTTTATTTGATGGCTTCATAAGTTGAGCTGGAAAGCGCTCTTTTTTTCCTAATCTCTGGAAGATTTTTTTTTTTTTTGAGTTGGAGTCTCACTGTGTCACCCAGACTGGAATGCAGTGGCCACTCCTGGCCACCGCAGCCTCAACCTGCTGGGCTCCGGCGATCCTTCCACCTCAGCCTTCCAAGTACCTGGAGGTACAGGCGCGCACTACCACACCCGGCTAATTTTTTTGATTTATTGTAGAGATGAGGTCTCACCAAGTTGCCCAGGCGGATCCCGAACCCCGCGGGCTCAGGCAATCCACTCTCCTCAGCCTCCCAGGGTGCGGGATTATAGGCTGAGCCACCAAGCCCGGCTTCTCTGGAAGATCTTATGTAAAATCTGTGTTATTCCTTCCTTCCGTGTTTAGTAAAAGTCACTGTTGAAGCCATTTGGACATGAAATTATCTTTGTGGTGATTTAAAAGTTAAAGATTCTCTGTCTTTAGTAATTATAGTATACAATTTAGATGTTCTATTTCTTGTGTTATTTTGGTACGTTATGTTGTTCTAGGAATGCTTCTCTTTCATCTGCTTATTGCATGAAGTTGTTTAGTCTTTTTAACTAAAACGTCTGTATTGATGTCTCCTTTTTTTGTTATTATTAGTTATTACTACTTTCTTTTATTTCCTGACCAAGGGGTATCAATCGAATTAGGCCTTTTAAAGCGCCAAGTTTTATCCTCAGCGTTCTCTACTGCTACTTGTTTTTTTTCCCTTTAATTTCTGTTCTTATCTTTGTTACTTCCTTAATAGCATTATCTTTTACTTAATTGTTCTTCTTTCTCTGACTTGTAAAACAGCAGAAATTGTCCATAAAGGAGCAGATAGTAAATATGTGGTCTCTATTACAACCACTCAGAGGACAGGAAAGTTAGCTCTCTTTTTTGTTGCACTTTTGACAGTGATATGATTTTTTCTCCTCAGGCTAGTTTAAAGATTTGTTTTCAGTCGGGCTCGGTGGCTCAGCCTGTAATCCCACGCCTTTGGGAGGCTGAGGTGAGTGGATTGCCTGAGCCCACGGGTTCGTGACCCGCCTGGGCAGGCGAGACCTCATCTCTACAATAAATCAAAAAGTCAGCCGGGCATGGTAACGCATACCTGTAATTCCAGCTACTTGGAAGGCTGAGGTGGAAGGATCGCCGGAGCCCAGCAGGTCGAGGCTGCGGTGGCCGTGCGGCCACTGCACTCTAGTGTGAGCGACGGAGTGAGACTCCAACTCAAAAAAAAAAAAGAAAAAAAAAAAAGATTTGTTTACTTTGTCTTGGGTTTTTGACAACATGGGGATGGCTTTCTTTTGATTTATACTTAGGGTTTATAATGCTTCTTCAATTTGAGACTTGGTATCTGTCATCAGTTCTAAAAAATGCCAAACATTATCTCTTTGGATATTTCTTCCATCCCATCTCTTTCTTCTTTCTGTGGCTGGATTACATATAAATTAGACCTTTGTGCCAGATCCCATGTTTCCTAAGTCCCTTTATATAGTTTGCAAAAGAATATTTTATATATTGTATCCTTTTCATGCTTTATGATTCAGTGACTATTTTCTTCTGACCTATTTTATATTTCACTATTTATCTCTTCAGCTGATCTGCTGTTGAGATCATTTGTTGAGTTTTTCATTTCAGTTATATTTTTCACTTCTATAATGTCCATTTGATTCTGTGCTGAAATTATCAGTTTTGTCTTTAGCTCCCTGAACTTTTTTTTTTTTTGAGTTGGAGTCTCACTCTGTCACTCAGACTGGAGTAATCCTTCCACCTCAGCCTTCTGAGTAGCCAGAATTACAGGCACGTGCTACCATGCCCGGCCAATTTTTTTATTTATTGTAGAGATGAGGTCTCGCCAAGTTGCCCAGGCAGGTCTTGAACCCATGGGCTCAGGCAATCCACTGACCTCAGCCTTCCAAAGCGCGGGATTACAGACTGAGCAACCGAGCCCGGCCTGAACTTTTTTTTTTAGGACTTATACCTTGGTATTTAATTTTTTATATTACAGATGGGTTATATTACAGATGGATCTTTTTTATTGCTGAAGTAGACATAAAATGACCAATTTCGCCATTTTTGAATGTAAAGTACATTCACAACATTGTGCAACCATCACTACTCTCCATTTGCAGAACTTTTTAATCTTCCCAAACAGAAACTCTACACAACGGGCATTAACTGCCCGACCCCTTGCCCCCAGCCTCCACCCACTGCCCCTTTCTATGACTTTGCCTACTCTGTGTCCCTCATGTAAGTGGGATCACACAGGACTTGTCCTTTGGCAGCCGACTTCCTTCACTGAGCACAGTGTCCTCAAGTTCCATCCACGCACTAGCCTGTGTCAGAATTCTCTGCCGTTTTCGTTTTGTTTTGGGGGGTTGGCGTTTACACTTTGTCGCCCAGGATGGAGTACAGTGGCATGCTCATGGCCACCGCAGCCTCGACCTGCTGGGCTCCAGCGCTCCTTCCGCCTCAGCCTTCCAAGTCGCTGGAACTACAGGCGCG